TGATTGATCCCAGCTGTGTCTCGAGTCGTTCCTGTGATTACCCTCCCTGTGTATTTAGTCCCACCTGTTGTCTGTGTCCCTCATCGGGTTCTTGTCTAAGTTTGTCGATTGCACGTCCGTCTGACGTTGGTTATTGTTTGACGCTCCAGTAGAACTGCGAAGTTCTGGATAGCGTTAGTTCTCGTTTCCAGTCCTGTGTATCAGTTGCTACCGGTATTTAGCTGTGTGCTAATCTCTCTGCCGTGCTGCCTGTGTTGGACTGTGTTTTTGAGCCTTCATCATTAAACCCATCATCATCTTCACCATAACCTGGGTCTCTGCGTCTCCCCTCACGTCTATCAACCCCACCATATGACAAAAACTGGGTTACAAATTGACACTCTTACCTTTTTCTCTCTATATATTTTCTTTAAAACCTGATTTTATTATTTTTCTTCACGGCATAGTAACTGCCACAGTCGTTCTTGTACTGACTGCTGATGAACACAATCACTAACAAGTGCTCTAAGCAGAAACAAACAATTTCATGCAGATCAAGGGGGAGAGGTTCAGGGCAAATATTTTTAGCAGTAAAAATTTTTTTACTTTTAAATTTGCTTTTTGGTTTGGGAGTGGGAACATAAAATTTTTACTGCTAAAAACAATCTTCAAAAACACAATATGATTAATTTTGTAAGTGATAGGGCCTCATTTTTTAAATTTTTTTTCTATAAACAATAAATAAATAAATAAATTGTAGAGGGCCCCCTGTCGGTCAGGGGCCCTTAGAATTATCATAACTTTCCCCACTATACGGTGCCCCTGGTCACAGGTTCAAGCCCAATCTGATGACCTTTGCTTCATATCTTCCCCCTCTCTCATTACCCATTTTCTTGTCAGAGTACTCTCAAATAAAGGCCACTAGGGCCAATAAAACCTTTAAAACAAATAATAATCACTGCTCTTCTGAAACATAATATCCAATTAAATTCTTGATTAATATGGGTTGTTGTTATGTTGTATATTGTTTTAAGATCTTGTTCAATCTGCCCTTTTTTAACTTTGAGCCCCTGACCCTCAAAAGGTCTCTGCACGGCCCTGACAGGTGTTATATTCATTTCCTAGCTAGAACAGCATTATGAAAAGGTGATGAATTTAAATATTTAGCCCTTTGGCTTGACTCATGATTGTCCTTTATACCTAAAGTCACTGATTGTTTCTGCTAAATGTTTCCCCCTTTTAGTTTGTAAAAGAGTTGTTGCACAACTGATTCTGCCAATTCTTGATTATGCAGATTAGTTCACAATGTAGTCAGAGTAAAACTTTTTTTTTACATCAAGAATTTTGAAAGAAATTAGTTGTCGTGCAATTCAGCTTAAGCTCCATCAGATTGGAATAACCTGCCTCTCTCACTTACATCTACCACATCTGTTCAGAAATTGTCTATGCTTACTGATTTTAAACAACTTGCACCTGCTTTCAATACTCACAAAGGCTAATTTATTTTGGACTTATGAATTTATATGTACAGGTTTATTGTGACAAACCTGTCTCCCTGAACTGGCTAGATTAGGGAGAAGCATCAAGTATGCGTGGTTGTGAGAGTGTGTGTGGATTTTCTGTGCTTAAATGTTTTGTATTATATTTTGAATTTACTCATAATTGTGATTTGTGCTATTGTTTATTATATTTGTTTTCCAATGATGCCCTTGAAAATGAGACCTCAAACTGTTATCGTTGAAATACACCAATTTAAATGAGCTCTGAAATACGTAATAGATAGCTAAGACTATGAGTCAAGTCACATGCAGAGTAAAAACAAAAACAATGATGCTTGTTTTGACTAAAATACAGCAGAGCAAATTTCTGTCTTACAGCTGACCAAAAACGACACAAAGCACAGCTCAGTTCTGTCTGGAGAGGAGAAAGCTGCTGAAGGGAAATTTAACTGCTGATCAATATGTCTGCTTTTGTTTTATAAAACCTATGTTGTATTTTTACTTGTGTCACATTGGCATTTCCTTCTTTTGTCTCCTATGTGCTCAGACTTTATTTTTTTTCCCTCACTGCTTTAGAAATATATTCTTAACTAGACATGGTAGATATTCTCCATTCTAAATTTTCAGATATCATTGATTCCATCGCCCCCATTATAGCAAAGGTTGTGTCTGGGAGGAACGAGTCTCCTTGGAGAAATGCACAAACAGTTAGATCTGCTAGATAACTTTTCCATAGGGCCGAACGTAAATGGTGTAAAACTCAACTTCACGTTTATTATGAAATCTACAAAGACAGACTGTGTAGCCATCACTCAACACTAACACATGCAAGGGAAACGTTCTTTGCAGATGTCATTCAGTTTTTACTGCTAAAAACAATCTTCAAAAACACAATATGATTAATTTTGTAATTGACAGGGCCCCAATTTTTTTTACATTTCTATGAACAAAAAATAAATAAATTGTGGAGGGCCCCCTGTCGTTCTTTGCAGATGTCATAAGTAAAAACATCAACAAGACTAGACCTTTATTTGCGACAGTTGACAGGCTCACAAACCCTCCAGGGACGTTACCACTTGAAGTTCAAGCTAATGCAGCCTGCAACCAATTTGCCAGCTTTTTTGAAGAGAAAAAAAATATAAAAAATTAGACGTTTAAACTACAAACCCACACTAAATCCAGCACCAATGCCATGTCCAAACATAAAAATGCAGAAAAAATGACCCAGTTTCAACTACTGCCCCTTTTCCACTGGCTCTACTTCATCAGCTCGGCTTGGCCTGGTTTGACATGGTGTGAACGCGTTTCCACAGGCCCGGTGTTCTACTGTAGCACAGATAGATAACTATGTCTATCTGTCAGTGCTATGCATCCAAAACTGCTAACATCATGTTTACAAAATGAAAACTACAGCAGGTTGTGTTAATGTTAAATTTATTGGATAACATTATTTGAGTGACGGGACTGAAGTGGAATCTAAAGAGTTATGCTTAGCTTAGCATTGAAACAATTTATATACACGACAAAACCACAAGTAAATAATTTCCTTCATCAGAATATCCTATCCGTTTAAGGTAATGTAAGGTTAGACTCCCTGTCTCTAAGAATGAGCGGGGTGGGGGGGGAAATCGCCTTCTTTTGGGGNCCTCTCTCTATTTTTATTTTTTATTTTTTTGAAAACCTGATTTTATAACTTTTCTTAGCAGCATAGTAACAGCCACAGTCATTCTTGTCTTCCACTGACTGCTGCTGAACACCGTCACTGGCAAGTGCTCTAAGCAGGAACGAACCATTTCATGCAGATCAAGTGAGGTTCAGCGCAAATATGGATGTGTGTTTTTTGGTCTGGGAGTGGAAACATTACATTTTTACTGCAAAAACAATCTTCGAAAACACAATATGATTAATTTTGTAATTGACAGGGTTCCATTTTTTTTTTTAATTTCTATGAGCAAAAAATACATAAATAAATTGTGGAGGGCCTCCAGGCCCTTAGAATTACCATAACTTTACCCCCATATACGGCGCCCCTTTGTGGGCCCTCCTGTGTTGTATAAATAGTCACGCTGGGCCATATTGGAATCTCATTGAAGTCATTACTTTAAGTTTGCCCGTTTGAAAACTGCAAACAACTGATTTTAACAGCACAATAAAGGCAGTTTTTGATAAATGTTCAGCAATATCTTTCTATCACCACCACCAGAAAAAAGTTTCAGGCTCAGGTTTTTTAATTTTTTATTTATTTTTTTACTTTAAGCCCTTCATGTCTGGGTCTTCCAGCATGACAATGACCTGGGGCCTCATGCATAAGAGTGCGCAGTTTTCATGCTAAAACTTGGCGTACAGAAAAATTTAGAAAAGTGTGGCGCACAAAAAAGTCGGATGCATCCGATTTGCATCCGGCTACAGACTACTACAAACTAAGCTGTAGTAGACTACTGTAAGCTACAGCTTATCTAGTACCGTACACGGTACAGTGTGGTACATGGTTTTTGGTACTGTGTACCGGTACTGCACGGCTCCTTCTGCTCAGAGCTCCAGGATGATCACTCCAGGCAATCTAAACGTTAATAAACCATCATCAACATTTCCCAGCAGATCAATATGATCTCTGATCAATCGCTCCCTCTGAATCCTTCTATTGGCAATGTTCTACATCAGAGCCAAAGCGCTGTGCCACAGTTAAGTTGTGTCGCATAATTGTGGCACAGTGCAAAGGTGTGCCCCTTTGCGCAGCTACTTATGTACGTGTGATTGTATACACACCTTGATCACCTTAAAATAATCAAACCTGTTTGGAGTTAATGTGCTGATCCAACCCTATTTTCTTTTTTTTTAGTGAGTTGCATAAATGCATTTCATGCGCTTTGGCGCACAGACCAATGCGTTACATCTTTATGAGACAAAAACTGAGGAAAAATGCTATTTACATTCGAGTGAAGTTTTCATATCTTTTTATTTTTATTTTCTATATTTTGTTATGTTATTGTCTGAGGATAAATGCGGTTCAGTTTCATCGTTTACGTTTAAACAATAAAATATTACAATCCTGAAAAAAAAACATGGTTAAACACCGCTTTATGCATGAGGCCCCAGAAGTAGAGTCAACTGGGTGTCTCTGTAAGAAACAGCCAGGGCCCCAGACTCCAGACCTGGACCCAGTAGAAAATCTTTGAAGGGAGCTGAAACTCTGTGTTGCCTAGTGACAGCTATGAAATCTGAAAGATCTGTATGAAGGAGCGGGTCATGGTCCTGCTGCAGTGAGTCTAAACCTGGTCAAGAACTACAGAAAATATCCAACCTCTGGAATTGTGAACAAAGGTTTCTGTACCAAATATTAAGTTGGATTTTTCAGTTAAATGAAATACTTATTTCATTCAAAAATGCCAATCAAATATATCAAGATCATATTATTTATACCTCACTCTCAAGTTTGCTCTGGAGCCTTGAAAATGACCTCTACTATTGTCATGCTCCTCATCGGTTCATGCTCATTGGTCCGTTTCTGTCTTCTGAACACAGGAAGCGTGCAGCTGCCAAACATCTAATAGAGCGCTATTACCACCAGTTAACGGAGGGCTGTGGGAATGAGTCTTGCTCCAACTCCTGGTGTGCCTCATCAGTGGGATTCAGCCGCATGGACAACAACGCGGCGGCAGTCAAAGCTCTCGAGCTCTACAAGGTCAACGCCAAACTATGTGACCCACACCCTTCGAAGAAAGGCACGGCGTCCACGTACCTGGAGAGCAGCGCTCACAGCAACTCGGCCTGCAGCAACAGAAAGCTGAACCATAAAGATGTCCACGCTGTGAGAGACAATTTCAAAGGTGGGTCCACTGAAGACAAACTTGCTAAGATGAAGTTTTGCTTTTTCTCTTCATGAAACATTTGTCTCTGTACGCAGATATAAATTACCTGACAGAGGAGAAGGTGTACGAGATCTTGGACATCTGTGGAGAGAAGGAGGATTACTCCCCTCTGATCCGGGTAATAGGTCGGGTATTCTCCAGTGCTGAAGGCCTGGTGCAGAGCTTCCGGAGATCCAAACCTCACACAAAGGAGGAGCTAAAGTCCCTCCAAGAAAAGGACGAGGACAAGGATGAAGATGAAAAGGAGGCGGCTGCATGCTCTGCCACAGCCATGGAGGAAGACTCCCCCACCTCCTCATCGTCACGGCTCGGCGAATGCTCCTCAGGAGAAAACGATGTCCAGAAGTTGGCCCCTGATGAGGTTTCGGTGGACATCGAAGCCGTGCGGCGGGTCTACGAGCGCCTGCTCTCCAACGAGAAGATAGAGGCCGCTTTTTTGAATGCACTCGTCTACCTCTCACCTAATGTCGAGTGTGACCTGACATACCACAATGTGTATTCAAGAGACCCCAACTATCTGAACCTCTTCGTTATAGTGATGGAGAACAACAACCTGCACAGTCCAGAATACCTGGAGATCGCTTTGCCGCAATTCTGCAAAGCCATGAGCAAACTCCCCCTGGCTGCCCAGGCCAAGCTGACTCGCCTGTGGTCCCACTATAGCGCGGAGCAGATCCGCCGGATGATGGAAACCTTTCAGCAGCTCATCACCTTCAAGGTGATCAGCAACGAGTTCAGCAGCCGCAACCTGGTCAATGACGATGATGCGGTCGTGGCGGCCACCAAGTGCTTGAAGATTGTTTACTATGCAAACGTGCTTGGAGGCGACCTGGACACAGAGAACAACGAAGACGAGGATGAGGAGCCCATCCCGGAGTCCAGCGAGCTCACCTTGCAGGAGTTGCTGGGCGAGGAACGACGGAACAAAAAAGGCCCTCGAGTGGACCCTCTGGAGACAGAGCTGGGAGTCCGCACCAACGACTGCAGGCGGCCGCTCATTCCCTTTGAGGAGTTTGTGAACGAGCCTTTGAACGAAGTGCTGGAAATGGACAAAGACTACACTTTTTTTAAGGTGGAGACAGAAAACAAGTTCTCCTTCATGACCTGTCCCTTCGTCTTGAATGCCGTCACCAAGAACTTGGGCCTATACTACGACAACCGCATCCGCATGTACAGCGAGCGGAGGATCACTGTGCTCTACAGCCTGGTGCAGGGCCAGCAGCTCAACCCCTACCTGAGACTCAAAGTGCGCAGAGACCACATCATTGATGACGCTCTGGTCAGGGTACGTGTGGACAATGCTGATGCTTGCTAGCTCCTGCAACCTACAGGGTGTAGTAATACCAGGTTGTTTTTGTTGTTCTTGCAGCTGGAAATGATAGCAATGGAGAATCCGGCGGACCTAAAGAAGCAACTGTATGTGGAGTTCGAAGGCGAGCAAGGTGTTGATGAAGGAGGAGTGTCCAAAGAGTTCTTCCAGCTAGTAGTGGAGGAAATCTTCAACCCTGATATTGGTAAGAAATCCCAATAAGTGCTCCACATGTCGTCCACATGCTACCCCGACGGTATAAACAGACTTGGACTCATTCCACAAAATTCTTCTCCTCACTCAAATGAGGACGCTTCTGTTTCACCGTCATGTTTTTTTTCTTTCGTTCAGGCATGTTCACGTACGATGAACACACCAGGCTGTTCTGGTTCAACTCGTCGTCGTTTGAAAATGAAGGCCAGTACACACTGATCGGCATTGTCCTCGGCCTGGCCATCTATAACAACTGCATCCTGGATGTCCACTTTCCCATGGTCGTCTACAGGAAGCTGATGGGCAAGAAAGGAACTTTCAGGGACTTGGCTGATGCTAATCCAGTGAGCTTCACTTCAGGATCGGTTCAAGCAGCAGTTGATGAGTTGAAGGTTTTGCTGACATTGAGTTGTGTTTTGAAAGGTTTTGTACCAGAGTTTGAAGGAGCTGGTGGAGTATGAGGGGAATGTGGAGGAGGACATGATGATCACCTTCCAGATCTCCGAGACGGACCCGTTTGGTAACAGACTCATGTACGATTTGAGGGAAAATGGGGACAAGATTCCAGTGACGAATGAAAACCGAAAGGTGAGCCTGACTGATGCCACCCTTGTTCTTCACTTTAACACTTTCTGCTACTACCTGCTGATGATGTGTGTGTGTTTCCACAGGACTTTGTAGCTCTGTATTCTGAATATATTTTAAACAAAAGTGTTGAGAAACAGTTCAAAGCGTTCAGGAGAGGCTTCCACATGGTCACCAACGAGTCGCCGCTGAAGTACCTGTTCAGACCAGAGGAGATCGAGCTCCTGATCTGCGGCAGCAGGGTGAGATCCGGAAACATCCGTCAGGAATCGGGAGTTTTCTTTGTGTCTGAGAACCTGGGTTTGAGTTCCTCTCTCTCTCATTCAGAACCTGGACTTTCAGGCTCTTGAGGAAACAACGGAGTATGACGGCGGTTATAACAAAGACTCTCGAATTATTAAGTAAGAAAGCAAGTTTTTCTCTAGGTCTGCATTATTATTGTGTGTTAAAGATGTGGTCTGTTTCTTCCTTTCTTCCTTGTGTCCATTCTTCCCTTCCTTTTGTGCTTGCTTTCTTCACTTTTCCTTCTTTTCACCATTACCCCATTTGATCCCTGTCTTTCCTTTTTTCATTCCTCTTTTCTTAACTTTTCCTTTCCTTCCTTTAATTTTTTTTCTTTCTTTCATTCCTTTCCCTTTATTTCTATTTTAACTTTATTCTTTCCTTCCTTCCCTTTTTTCTTTTTCTGTACCTTCTTGCTTTTTTCTTTGCTTTTTTTCATTCCCCTTTTCCTTCCTCATTTGCTTTTTTCCTTCCTCTCTTACTCCCTCCTTCCTATTCTGATGTAAACCTGGAGGTTCAGTGACACTATAAGCTCGAGACTCTGTAGTTTTTCCACTATATTTGGTTAGAGAACTGAACCATAAACATGCAGAATGTGATAAGAACCAGCAGGTGAAGAGTATTTCTCCAGCGGTTGATTCCATGCTGTGATTACAGCTTCTGTTCTGACAGTGGGATTTGTCTACTGCAGGGAATTCTGGGAGACGTTGCATTCTTTCAGCGAGGAGCAGAAGCGCCTCTTCCTGCAGTTCACCACCGGTACTGACAGAGCACCTGTGGGTGGGCTCGGCAAGCTGAAGATGATCATAGCCAAGAATGGCCCAGACACAGACAGGTGAGGTGTCACCATGATAACCATCCTGCTCCAATAGGCCGCTGGTCAATCACACAAGGTTCCATAGGTCAGAAGGAGAGCTTCCTGTCTCGCTGAGTCAGAATGTGAGGCTGACCGAGCCTCGCATTCTCAGTCAGCCTGAAGAAAATATTCAGCAAATATTTTCTTCAGGCTGAAGTAAATCACTGAAAAAAATATTCAGCAAAATTACCTTTAAAACAAAGTTACGGTTTATAAATTCATTATTAACAGGCAAATTCAAACACACAAAAATAAAGTTATAACAAAAATAATTGCATAAATGACTCAAATGCACCTGTTTCCTAAAGAGAAATATCCTTTAATGCCCCACAGTGAGGAGGTTTGGGTTAACCAGCTGCTAGTTACAGGTAGTAAAAAAAAAAAAAGAGTATATATATATATATATATATATATATATATAACATTATTTAACATAGACACTTAAACTGTTAACAGTTTGTCAAAATCACATTTTTAAATGATATATCTTTCTAAACAAGGGGTGAATTGTTTCCTACTCATTGCATTTAATTATATTTTTGCTCTTTACTAGAAAGAACCCTAAAATAATACTGTCATTGTTTTGAAAACAGTGTCAAATATTTTTCTTAGGATCAGTATTGAGCTTAAAACCTTACTGTCGTAACACCACCAGTAGGAGGCGCATTCGCCCAGTAAACTCTATTTTCCTGTCCTTCCTTCCTTTATTCTTGTTATTAATTTTTCCTGAACTTCCTGCCATCATGGTTTTCTGTCTGCAGGTTACCAACATCCCACACCTGCTTTAACGTGCTGCTGCTGCCAGAATACAGCAACAAGGACAAGCTGAGAGAGAGACTGCTGAAAGCCATCACCTATGCCAAAGGGTTTGGCATGCTCTGAGCCCCCACTACTAACAGACTCCTTCTCAGAAAGCCCATGAAGCCCCAGCCCGCCCCGTCCTGCCCCTCCTTTATCAGACACAATCCAAACGGTGACAGAACACAGACCAGGAGAACAAGAGGACAAACGGTTCCAACTGAGCACTCTAGTAGTTTTGCTGCTGTGTCTGCATCATCTTCCATCAGTCAGTGTAAGCACAGAGGCCTCCTGAACTTCCCACTCCCACATCCACAGTATGTGAATGTGTTGCAGCCTCCTTTTGGGTTTTCCATGTACAGAGAGGATGGTTTTCCTTATTTATTTTTACGTTTCAGTGGGTTATCTCATGGCTGCCTGTTGTTAGCTTCCCTAATCTGGGAAAAGGGGGACAGAGTCCAGTCAATAAAAACAGGATGCTAAGATAACCTGGTCTAACAGATGATTGAAGGTTCCCCACTAAAGAAAGAGCTTCACTGACCATTCAACTCTACTGTTGCTTAAACACAATTCAGATCAAGGTAAGCATTGGTAAATTTACTGTCCTTTGGTCCAAAATGGCACATCATCTAAATTACTGTTTGTTTGTTTCTGGGCATTTATTCTTGCTCTGGGTGGGGGTTTGGTGGGATGGGGGTACACCACAGGTAAGAATCAAATCTTATCAGATCAGAGCTGTGTAAAGTGCACTTAGACATTTTCAGAATGTTTTGTTTTTTTCTTTCTTGGCCACAGGTCGCCATGATTGTTTGGAAATTTTCATTTCCTTGTCTTCCTGTGTTGACAATTCCAAATAAAAACAGTGTTTATATATATATGAGTGCAGTAGAAACTGCAGCACCATATTGTACAACATCTACACATGTAGATTAAAGAGGATGTACTCCATGTGCCAACCTACCAGGGAAACCAGATCTTTACAAATGCTGTGTATAAAACAACCTGCTTTAGCTATTTGTGACAATGAATCAAGCTAAACTGCCTGTTTAGGATCACAAAAACGATTTTTGTTTGGTTAATATCAGAGTAGGGAAACGTTCTTCAAATCCACAAATTTTCTTCCGTTGCCTCGGGATTTGGTAGAATTGTCCTTTAAGCTCAAGTCAGATGACTCACATAACTGGTTTAGTAGAGCTCCATTACACACCTTTTCAGCTCTTATCACTAATTTTCTTAGGTCTGAGGTCAGGATGTTTTGGACACTACAAAACACAGACTTTAATCAGTTTTAGCTTTTTCAAAAATGACATTTTTGGGGATTTGATTTTTTTGGACATCCACAAAAATGAGTTCCTTTGTCTGTGAGCATCTTTACAAACCATAATCTGACTTTTCACTTTGGTTTTTCAGTTGGCGCTTCTTCATTGCTGAGCAGCGTTTCAGGCCATCTTGATACAGGACTCGTTTCACTTTTAGCTGTTGTTCTGGTGTTGAGTCACACATATTTCACACCAGAACCAATTCACCTGTGGGAAACAGAACCCATCTTCTTCCACAGTGATATGTCGAGACACTCCCATGCTGTTTGTAGTTGCATATAACAGTTTTAGCAGATGTGTGGTACCTCAGGTATCTCAAACATGAACCAGACTTAAGGTTCACAGTTTTCATTTCTTGGCTGAGTTCTTTAATTTGCGACGATGTCTCACAAGGAATCAGTTTGAGATCTTGCGTTAAAATACATCAGAAGCTTCATCTGCACTATACCACAAATAGCTTAGAGACACAGGAATCTTAGTGTATGTAAATAATAAACATCTTGTATTTAGCAAATAGAAATAATTTAGGTAAGTCTGATGACCCTAAAACAGCTTTGTCTGCTTTAACGTCATACAGGAAATGAAAAGGTTGGATGTTTCATGCTGTGGTGTATGTAAATATCTGGTTCCAGCTCAATTCATTTACTAACCGTTTGTCTGGTAAAAAGTCCAGTTTATTTCATCCACTTTTGGTTTTAATGTTGAACACTTAGGAGGCACACACTGCAGCAGCTTATCTGGAACCTTCTGCACAGGCAGAGTCAAGGAGATCCCAATAGATCTCAACAGTTGGGCTTCTCTGGTCTTTAGTTCTTGGACTGTAGTCAGTGGTGGGACACCACCATGAGTAGAAGAACCCTACCAAAGGTTTGCTGACCTGTCAGAAAATCCACAAGTCACTTAGTCTCAGGCAAAGCTTCGTGGTGACTTTCCTAGCAGTTCATCTGGGCAAGACGTTCCGACCTGTATTTGGATCTCTCTGATGTATGCTGTGGGAAATGCATCATCTAAACGAACTATATGAGCCACTTCCTTATGAACCATTAAAGAAATTACTATGAATGTAAATGTCATTTTGTTTGCATACAGACCAGGCAGAAACAATAAAAGGAACTATGAAAAAGATCTTGTTATATTTTACCAATTAGTAAGAGAACCTGATAATCTGGCATCATGTATTATAACCGCACAAATGCCCATGATTTTCATCTTCAAACATTGTCCATCTTAACTTTTTCAGTTCTTCAGTTTTAAAATATGTTCTCTAATTTATACATAAACCCACTAATATGGTCCCCAGCAGGTTTTGCCTCACCACACATCTGAAGCTATTTCCAGGAATATTTTGACCATTTTATTTTGGCTGAGTTGGTGGAGTAGCAAATAGTTTTTCGGGACCTGGATTTGAAGATTAGTCCATAAAATTTGAGATTTGTATTCTGGGAAGACATTTCCATAATCTTAATGTTAGCCTTCTTTCCAAAACCAACCTGAAATTACTCATGCCACTGGCATGAGTAATTTGAACTCTGGAATTAAAATTCCAGATGAATTGCTGGCAACATGTGGATACTTGGTACAGTGTGTCCTGAGATTGAATGCATGACCTGGACTCTTCTAAACAGACATCGTGTCTCATCTTCACTGTAAGACTTTTTTTTTTTCTTTTAAGATTTTTTTGGCTCTAGTGGCCTTTATTTGATAGTTAATTGACAGGAAAGTGGGTAATGAGAGAAGGGGGAAGAAAGGTCGCCATGGTCGGGAATCGAACCTGCGACAGCTGCGTCGAGAACTAAGGCCTCCATATGTGAGTTGTGCTTAACCCCTGTGCCACCACAGCACACACCCACTGTAAGACATTTTCATTTTTAAAGTGGAACCCTGTTTTTGGTAGGTGCTCTGTGCTGGTGGTTTCACTGTAGGTTATGGAAGTGGAGTTCTAGAAACTTCCAGGAGAAGGCAAGGATCATTCCTTGGTAGTTCCTGGGATGATCCTACACTGTCTCCATTTATACTTCCAAAGAACATCTGTTAAATATGATGGATACTTTAATCTGATGGCCTTAATTAAAACCCCACTAAATGGCAGGATCAGGTAGGAATTCAAATGTCACATTAAGGCTACTATAACTGATTGGTATAGAGTTAGACATTCATTATAGATTAATCTCTTCATTGAGTCATTGTATCTAAATCTTATCTTCTTTTCTGACCATTTTAGGTAGAGAAGCATCGTGTTCTTATTGTCATCATTACAGTTTTTTGTTTAAACTTTGAAGTCATAATAGATTGGGTGATGTTTATCATGGTTCTGTTAGCATTGCTTTTGTGTTCAGCCCCGGTAGAACTTTCTAGGCTCATCCTTATGAGCCCAACTAGAAAGACACAATGGAGAACTTTAAAGCCAACCTTTTTATTTTAGTATATTTTGTATGGGGATAGTGAGTAGAAACACTGTCCAACTGTTTCATTTAGTGAGTATAAAAGTTCTACAGTGCCAAAGATGACAAACTTTCACTTTCTCTTTGTAGACTCATTTCCCAGCAAACATCACTCATCAACTCTGAGGCTTTTGACCTCATTTGATAAGTTAGTGAGCCGCTGATTGAGTTTACGCTGAGAGGATTCATATTGATTTCTAAGCTTTTGAAGTTTGATTGTCATGACGTCCACACTGCCTTCAATTTGGTTGACTTTATCCTCCAAATCCTTGGCATCAACAGCAGCTACTAGTGACTCATCTATGAGATTATCCTTCATCAAAATGGCCCTTCCCTTGTCCTCCAGAGCATATTTAGCATCAGGATATTCAATGAGAGCCTCCATTAGATCGTCTTTAGATAGTGCAAACAAATCCGAGTAGCCAACACTTCGGATGTTGGCAGTTCTCCGGTTTCCTGCTTTGCTGCCCTTTATTCCAAGGATGCTGATTTCTCCAAAATATGCCCCATCACTGAGGACAACAAATTGTGTCACCCCATCATCTGCCACAACAGCTAGCTTTCCTTCTTTGATTATGTACATTTCCCTGCCAATGTCCCCTTTTTTACAGATGTAGTCACCAGGGCTGAAGACCTGAGGTTGAAGCTTTAGAACCAACTCCACAAGTAAACCTGCTTCACAGTCTTGAAAGATGCGCACTTTTCTCAGAGTCTCCAGGTGGACGTTGATGGCTATCTCAGCCTTAAGCTTGTCAGGCAGATTCTTTAGTACCAGTTTCTCATCACAGGACTTCCCCTCTGTCCACAAGTAGTCAAACCACTTCACCACCCTTGCCTCCAGATCTTTTGTGACCTTCCGAAATTGCATATACTGCTTGATTGAGTCAATCTTGGCCTGAAACTCAACTCGTGCAGCATTCATGTTGGAAATCATGGCACCAACATTGCCTACAATTGTTGCAAAGATCAAAACCCCAGTGAGAAAATCGGCTACAACAAAAAAGTACTCTATGTCCCTGACTGGAGGTGGGGTCTCTCCAATGGTTGTCAAGGTAAGGGTGGACCAGTAAAAACAGTAGATATACTGTCTGGTCAGACTAGCATATACAGGATTGCTTATGTTAGGATATACCCATGTGTCTGAACCAAAACCAAGAATCTTGGAGACAGCAAAGTAGAGACAAGCATTCCAGTGAATGATGATGATAATGTAAAGTACCAGATTTGCAATTCGAAAGATGTTTGGAAAATTAGTTCGAGTTTCTGTCCGGTCAAAGAACTCAAAGAGTCGAGCTAACCTAAAGAGACGGTTGAACCTCCACTCTGGGTTGTTGATTCCAATATGAAGAAACACAAAGTCAGTAGGGATGATGGACATCATATCTAACTTAAACTGCCGAGTCTTCATGTACTTTTCTTTTAGCATCTTTGCATCCTTCACAAGCAGTCCTTGCTCCAAGAAACCTGTTGGAACATTCCAAGCTTTATGAAGTGAACCATCTGTGAAAAAAACTGAAAGAAATAACTTTGCCTTTGCTTACCAGTCCTGGCTCTCACAAAGGTGTCTACATAGTAGATAACATCGGATATGTAGTCCAAAGCCATCCACAGAGTTGAGTTAGCATATTGGAGTTCATTAAAACATGCCCTACGTGGAAGCAAAGTCGTCAAGAAAAAGTTGAGAATAGTGAATGAAAATAAAATGATATATGAAATTCATTAAAAAATTACATAATCCAAAACCTTGCCACAAGAAACATCAGGTTATAGAAGACCGGCACAGAGACTGTGCACAGCCAGTTGTAGTATGTATCGGTAGCAGGATCCATGATCCACACCTCCTTCCTGGTTGATGATAAGCCACAGTGAGTAGTCAACAACTTCATTAGTGAGGACAGTGTACTATTCAATACCAAACCCACAAAGCTTGACTTTATAACAAAAGTATGACAAATAGAGCATCAGTAGACATGCAGTAAATGTCTTTAACCTCTCATGAGGACATCAGTGTACCACTCAAATTCAAGAAACTGATCAAGGTACTTACGGTGGTTCTTTTTTATCATCCTTTTTGTCATCTTTCTTCTCATCCTTCTTTGCATCTTTCTTATCATCTTTCTTCTCATCCTTCTTGTCATCTTTCTTCTCATCCTTCTTGTCATCTTTCTTCTCATCCTTCTTGTCATCTTTCTTCTCATCCTTCTTTTCCTCCTTCTTTTCATCTTTCTTTTCCTCCTTTTTCCTAAAAAACAATTGTAAAACGCCAATTGTAGGGGGACTTGTGCTGCCTTGTCAGTAAGGAATATAATAGTTCAATAGACTGGTGGTTCTGAATACAAATCAGGCATAACATTATGACCAGTAAAGTGAATACTTTTTTGTTACAGTGATACATGTACATATATCACATGATTCATCTCATTAATTCAATTCAAAATATGAAACTGATATGTTACATAGATCCAATTCACACAGAGCCAATGAAAACCCTCTTTTTACTTTCTGACATGTATTTCATAAGAACACCTCTACACCATGTGCATTTTAAAAAGGACAAATGTTCAGTGTCCATTGACAACAAAATCTCCTTCTGGGCTTCAGCTAGTTTGTGGTGCCTGTCTACTGTTGAATCATGAACATTTGAGGCCTGCAGAGCTTTATATGTTATTTTGAGTTCTTCTCCAACCTCCTTCATGAACTCCTGATAAGCTCCTAGGGTAACTTTGGTTACCCTAGGAGCCTACCCGATTTTCCATTGATCGGGTCATTATCAATTACCGTACTTTTTTTTTTTTTTTTGACAGGATCACTCATTGGAAGGTTCATCACAGTTTCATGTTTCCCATTGTATATTCCTGGAGTACCAAAGTCCAGAAAGTACCAAGGTGTTACAAAGTCATAAAAATGGCTTTGCAACACTTCATACACACACAGTTATTAATAACTGTGCCTGATCTGTTCTTGAATTTCTTTAGATTGGGGCTTGATGTGATACTTTTTTAAATCTTTTACCTTACTTCATGATGCCAGACATACCATGTGTACTAAAGTAAACAACAGATATTCCAGAATTTGTAAAGGGAAGATGGTTTTGAAAAAACAAAAAAAAAAAAAAAAGTCTACCTTAGAAACTCTTGATGCATCCATAAAACCCAGAATTGAAAGCAGATGTAGTCTTATTCATTGTCCTGAACTTTGAGATGTAGGTGTGTTCATGACGAAGTTAACCCGTCACTGTTATGCAGACTTTCTGATTCAAGGTTGAAATGAAGCGTTGGCAAAAGAACAGTACAACCATCCACTGACTTAAACTGGGCTTTATGCTCTTCACAGCCTTATGAATAAAAAGTTTTATAAAGAGCTGTTTATGTCAGCTCATCTGACATAAATTCATGAGATAATTTGTGACTTACCCATCGTTATTGTTGGAGTTTGTGTTTTGTGCAGCTAAGGGCCACTGTTTCTCCCTGCAAGAGGAACAAATGGAAAAGTTCATTGATTTTCATAAAGTCCCCCAGCATACAGAGTGAGAAACATCAGGCTAAATGCTAAGCTACATATGAAAAACTACATGCTCACTGATCTGTCCTCTGGTTGCTGAGGCCAGACTCTTCTGGACCAATGTTGCTCTTTCCAAAGCGTGTCATGTTTGAAAGCCTTTAGAAGAGAAGCAAAAAAATTATTTGCTGGTTAGAAAAATAGTGAGTCTTGCCTGAGTTTGTAGTTGTAATGAAATACACGTCACATAAGCCTCATGAAAGTAGTAATCTTTATCTGCAGGTTAAGAAACCTATGGAGCTTTTAAAAGAATGAGTTCTTGTTTCTTGTCTTATTGTAAGCTGGGATAAAATAAAATATGCAATGTTGTGGGATTTTGGTCTCTCGTGATGCCAACTAACAATAATAATTCTCCTCCAGATCTGAAATATGCTGATGAAATCACCAAGTCAGAACCAGCACCAAGTAAGAGATCAAAATGGATGCGCTGCAGTGAACCCACACTTGTTCCTGGTTCAGTTTTCACAGATTCACCTGTTCTTTACGTTTTCTGTGAAACATAAGTCAAAATTATTTGTAGAAAATCTGTGTATTTGTTTGTAGAAGGAAAATGCAGCTTGGGAAGCTGATTTCAGCTGTGTCTTTGTATTTACAAAGACACAATGCTACTTGACATGCTACTGGCTAGGATTAGCAAATTAGCCAATTCAGAAGTGCCATTCAATTTCCTTAGCAGTGATTGGCTGTACTTCCAATAAAAGGAAGACTGTGGATGTCAATGCCAAGACATTTTCCACTGTATTAATTCATATTCACGTATATTTGGTGTTTGAACTATTAAAAATGGCAATTATAAGCATTTTTAGAGATGGTCTCAAGGATTTGCAGATTTTAGCACACAATATCAACTTTGAGGACTCATTGTAGAAATATATACATATTTTTTCATAAATGACAATAACAGAAATTGCAATATCTAAGTACAATGGAGTATCTCCTCATTTGCTACAGACACACAAACATATTTTTGGCACAAATGGAACCCCATAATCCACTGTTTAGTGAGGCTTTATCTGCTCTCACCTGGACAGCAGTCCTGTTCTTACTGCCTGTTGCTGGGGCTCCATCCTGTAACACAGCACAGTTAGACTGGTGCACAGGTGCTATGACAACACATACCAGAAATATTAATGAGTCTCTTCCTCGTAGTAAACATTTTTTCCAAAGATAGGCACCAAAATCTCTGGCTTGACTGGTTACTTTTGCTATTTTAGGAAATAAAAATGGTACTTCTGACACATGCCACAGACAATTGAGATAGTAACTGGTGTAAGTGTACTGATAATGTAACCCTCAGAAGTATAGTCATTTTGTTAATCCTAAGATGTTGTAAGGTTTTGTCTGATTTAATGTCAGAGAGAAAAACAAAATTCAGTGTCATGTATATACCGGAGTCTGTTTGTTTTAAAGATCAGCAGTGTTACACAGGTACAGCAGGACTACAGACCAACCAGGTTTAATTGTAACTTTCTCCCACTTTCTCCCACATGTCCGAACACTCCACCTTCTGTCCTGTCTTCTTTCCTTCTTTCATTTTAAGACATCTATGATTTGTCTTCTTTAGCCTCCCGGCAACAACGACAGCATTCCTGAAGAGGCAAAACCCAAAGTCCAGGCCAACGTCATCCCTCTCTACTGCACTAACAAGGTATCAAATCCTTTTTAACTTCTTTCTTTCTTATAAACACCCTTTTCCCTCCTTTTTTTCTCCAAATCAATGCATTTATTTCTTTCCCACATCCCAGAGAGAGGAGGATCCAGGTTTTTATAATTAATTCAGGCACAAACTTCAACTTTTACATTAGAAATCATTTATCTCATGACTGCAAACTGAATGCGCGGATGACGTCTCTGAATTATAAATAAAACCAGAACTAGTTTCTGTTTGGTCACATTAGCTCATTAAGCCTCTACAGTACAGTTCACTGAAATCCTTTTCTCCCGGATTACAGAAACTAAAATTAGATTTTCAGACCAACGTGACTTGCTAAGCCCCAGCCTCAAGTAGTTTTCTTCACTTTAACCAACTCAGCTGTTGAAATTTACCTGCGTGTAAATGTTGATTATGATGAAGATGATGATGATGAAAATGATGATGAGGAGCATCTGTGACTGCAGAGGATTCAGGGTGAGCTCTGACTAATTTTCAACCTGCTGTCTCACACCAAACAGAGCAACACTCTCCTCCAGACAATAACACATCACCAGGAAGGAATCGCAGTCCGTCCCCCAGCGCAGCTCAGTGAATGAAGTCGTCTCCTCGCTCTGCTGAGTTCATCCTCTGCTGGTGGAGGAAATCCTTATTGCAGTGACACATTTCAGCAGGAGGTGAGAGGAGGAGGAGGAAGTGAGACATTTCTCCTCCCTCAGCTGTGAACCTCGTCCAGATCGTTGAATCCTGATGGATTGATGTATCTTAAACATCTTTTTAGAGTCATTTATTATCTTTCCCAATCAGAAGATATTAGTTCAGTGACACCACTAATCTTTGAGCATTAAAATGATTCTGTGATGTAAAAAAAAAAAAAATTAACCCATGACCAGCAGTGGCTTTTGATTTGGGCCATAAAGGCAGCTGCCCAGAGCGGCATCACAGTCCAGAAATGTGCAGTTCTAAGCACAGCCAAGATACTGGAGGAACCCTCAAGCTCCCAGGCCTCTGGTAGAGGACCCGAGCTCAAAGGATGAGAGAGAGAGAGAGAGAGATAAAGAGAGAGAGAGAGAGAGAGAGAGAGAGAGAGAGAGAGAGAGAGAGAGAGAGAGAGAGAGACCACCCCCAGAGGGTGAGAAGGGAATTTTTATTTTTTTTTATTTTGGTAAAGTGCCTTGAGGTGACACGAGTTGTAATTTGCCACCATTTGAAACCAAATGTTTACATATATAAAAAACAAACAAAAAAAAGATACACACTTCTTTTTCTCACTGTTTGAAGTTAAATAAAACTAAAACCAAACTCCTCCCTTTAGGTCAGTTAGAATCACAAAAACTATTTCTATTAGCTAGATGCTACAAAAATGACAAAGAATATAACAGAGATTTATTTATTAATGTCTTCAAAGTCAGAAGTTTACATACATGCTTACTATCTCTTTAAACAGTGAGGGAAAACCCAAATGATGATGTCATGGCTTTAGAAACTTCTGATAGGTTTATAGAAAAGGTCAGTACTTGAACAGGAATAAATTTCAATTTCACCCTGAATTACTTTAGTTGTTGCACCATGTCCTCATTCAGCTATGAATCACATAGCAAATCGTTATTTATGTTTACTGATAGTATTTTTAAAGCATTAACTGCAACACTAACAGGACTTCATGCAGTCTGAGCTTCTTCCTTATTTCTATCCCCTCTAGTCTGAGCAAATCCTCTTAAAGTGGAGAGCTAAAGCAAAACATCACGACTCCACCTGCAGCTCAAAGAAGAGTGGGACAATCCTGGTATCCTCAGCTAATCTAAGATGATCACCTCCTGTTTCCCTTTGCCTGCCTGGCCACAAGCTGAGGGGGTCAACACCAGATTCAAGGAGTTTCCTGTTGTCTTCTTCCAGTTCACTCCCACTTCAGTTTCCTTTAAAAGCAAATGAACAGAGCATCCACAACATATTCACAGCACATCACTTTTTCCACATTTAGTTATGTTGCGGTCTCTTTCCAAATTGTACTAAATGAATCTCTTCTTCAAAGTTCTAAAAACACTGAAATGATAAAGGGTTTCCTGCCAAAACAAAAAACAAAAAACTAGTAGATGTTTTTCTTTTCAGTGGGTTGGAGTACTGCAATGCTGTCTAAAATGCAGCTGCCAGAGTCCTGACAGTCCATGTACATTCTGGCAGTTTGTTTTTAAATTAAAAAAACACCAGCTGGTTTATTTTTCTTTTTAAACCAAAATAAAAAAAAAATTGGGCAACGAACTGGTTTGTTAGCAAATTTGATTATTTCTTGTTTCAAATGAAAAAAAGCTAACTTCCTGAACGTAAACAGACCATAGACCAGGGATCACCAACTCCAGTCCTCCAGGGCTACCATCCTGCAACTTTTAGATTCACCTCTGCTCCAAAATGTCTGAATTCCCTCACCAGCATTCATTCCTCTCTGCAATATCCTGGAAACAACCAGTTTATTTGATCAAGGTGTGTTTGAGCAGAGACGCATCTAAAAGTTACAGGATGGAAGCCCTGGAGGACTGGAGTTGGTGACCCCTGCCGTAGACGGAGCCCTGAGCAACACCAGGGAAACAGAATGACCTGTGGGTTTTGATGTAGCAGCTGAAAACCCCCCCCAAAACAAAACATTCTAACAAAAAATAAATAAATAAATAAATAAATAAATCATCCACCAGTTCCATTTATTCAGAATTATGATGAGTATGTAGCACAGTTGTGTTCATATTTCTATCTCAGTAATTTATTCTAGTTGGTGTCCAGGGTGTGAGATTAATTTTCTGAGAATGTAGGTCACCCCGAGCTCATCATCTCGCACATGTGCATTAATACCAGCCAGGTGGAATTGGCTGTGTGTACTAAACCCCTTGGCTGCTCCTGTATGTCAGTGAATACTTCAGTAGGATGGAAAAAGCTGACGATGGTCGTCGCACACTCAGCAGATCAAACAGGGAAGTCATAGTTAATTCCCAGTCCTACTGATGTGGTAACAAACTGCTGACAGTGGTGTGCCTCGCCAATTAACTTCATTACAGCCTGAGCTCTGTCAGTGTCACCATGGGAACGTCTTGTCCCATCAAACATCTGCTGGCTAAAAGATGTTCCAGTGTTACTGAGAGCTCAGTGAATGATCCAGGTTATTATAAGAGTAACATCACCTGATGGACTGATGGACAGACCAGTAGTAAACAGGAATAAAGCCACTCAGAAGTGACCTAGTCAAAGGCTGAACTGCAATTAAGATGCCATGGAAAACCTTTGTTATGGAAATTTCATTTATCAAAGAATGAGAATCTGTTTCAATAATAAGAGAAAGATTAATCTTTGTCTTTAAGTTTCTTTATTTGAAGGCAAAAGCTTAGAAAGACCTGTCTCACTGAACACAATCACATCACATCATTATATAGTAACAGCAAGGAAAAGACCCACCCAAAGTCTTATCTTATCTCTATTGCCAGATGGACCATGAACACAATCCTTATCCCCACCTCATGAATCCTCAGGGGATGATTTTATGGCAGGGGAGGATTTCAGGAGAAACTCCCAATTCTTCACTGTCAGTTACTCATGGGTGCAGTGTCAAACAAGGGTACAAACTACATTCCACACATGTCAGTCCTTTAAGACAATTGCCAGGTTAAGCATTTTACCCAAGATGTCTTCAGGTCTTTTATACTATCACAGCTGTGGAAACATCTAAACATTATCTGGAAACTTCTTTAGTGGAAAACACGTCTTGCAGAAATACAAAAACACAGCAAATATAATCAGTAAATAAATGGTAAAAAAGTATCATCAGTCCCATCAAAGATCAAATATGGCCGAAAACAAAATTTTCTATTACACCTCAAACTGACATTCATGCAGGAAATGTATCCAATGCGATGCAGACTGAAAAATTCTGAACAAAACAAAAAAGAAAGAAATATTTCCTCCAATATGATAGAAAATTAAACAGCATAGTGCCACCTGGTGGTAGACAGAGAATGCTAGCAGCGGCTTCCTGCAAATTCTTGAGGAGGCTGCTGGTTGGTCATAACAGCAGAAAGATCCACTGAGGACTAAAGATGGTTGTCATAAAGGGGTTGAATACATTCAATTGGAGACTGGGTTGTTTAATTTGGAGAAACCAGCTCTAATCTGAAGATGTCAAAAATGTAATTGTTGGATTTTTTTAGCTGCTATTTTTTATATTTGGTAATTAGTTTGTCCTGCTGTCTGGTCCATGGTTCTGTATGAACTGACAAAATCCCAGGAAACTCAAGCAGATCCAAATAGAAACCCGGCGGTGTGGTGAAGGTCGGTGCTCCACCGTGTCGCAGTGGACAATGGATCCTCACACCCAGAAATCCAACCAGCTTCCTTCATCGCAACCCACTTCACAGGGGGGAACTGCTACACTTTCTGCATGATGAGAAGGACCAAGGTTGGTTTTAAGATTACTGTGCAAAGAGCAGCGGAAATAACCCCTGCCTAGGGGCAGAGAGGCAGGAAGAATGCACTGCATTAAGCAGCTGCCGGCTCTGCAGGCTTTTTCCTCGGGGTAAGGTGAAACCCTGAAACAACATCCCTGGTGTTAGCTGGCCTGCAGCAGCTCCCTCCTATAATTACAGAGACATGCATCTGCAACTGAATCCCACAGCCTCCACCTGCCTGCACAGCCACAGCAGAATGACTTCACAGTTACAGAAATCCTTGAATCACTTGAGACCCCACGATCCCCCTCCCTCTCAGGTCTATGAAGTTCATTCATTCATGTCTGAGGTGGGATGAGAGAAGGAGGATCAAATCCTCTGCAGAGGGAGAAAACAGGCCCAACATGTCTTCAGGAGATTCTTTTTAAAGCATTTTGACTGTCATATTTCATCATTGTTCTTAGAAGAGACAGAAATTCTCTCTTCTCCTGGATGACATTAGCTACAAAGGGGCTTAGAAAACCCAAAGTCAGACAGTTAAAAGGGAAATTTCAACACTATTCTGGCATTTAGAAAAAATGGTCAAAATAATAAATAAATAAGATTGGTAACCCAAATGACGCAAAACAGAAAATATTTAGTCATATTTAATCTCAGACAATGTGACAATTTCTTTTTCATAAGGTTTTGTTGATTATCTTGAAATGATCAGCTCCTTCCCTACAGGTAGTATGGGTTCACATTGAAGAACTCCAAATATTGTAAGCTTGCTGAACTGATAAAGGAATTATTAGATGAAGGAAATGTCAGACCTAAAACAAGTTTTTAGGTCTAACAAGGATTTCAAGTTAGAGTTTGCTTTTTCCCTGGAATGAGGGAAAAATGAGGGGTCCAGCAAAGACAATAACACTCTCTCTTTAAATAGAAACCATTCCACATCCCTTTGGGTGTTCATTCTAGTGAACAACCCAACAACAGGTCAAATGCTTTAAAGAGCTTAAGACTTTCCAGGAACAGGAAGTCCTACACCCCTTTTGTAATAATGATTCTTTGTCCTATGAATACTCTACATGGGGAATGGAAGACATGGGAGCTTGCACTGCATTAATAGTGTTGAGGAAAAAAATACATGAATGTTATGTTTCACTATAATACACTTGACTGTTTCTTTTCAAGACAACATAATTAGAGGAACCAGTTCTGTGACTAGCAATGTGTACTCTAATTTTCCATACCGAGTGAGTTCTTATGTTTTGTTTCTTACCGTCAACTCTTCACCTTTATTTTAACATAGAAAGCACTCCTGGATCATCACTTTTTTGTGTGTGTATGTTTCATCTTAAACCCAGAGTCAGGTGAGCAAAGATGGCTGCCAACAATGGTACCAGTTCTGGTTTTGCTGGAGGTTTCTTCCTGTGAAAGGCAAGTTTTCCCATCTAATGTCACCACATTTATGTTCAGTATGAGAGATTCCTTCAGAAGTTAGTCTCGATGCAGCTGACTGGGTTTCCTCAGGAAACTTCCTAATAATAATAAATTTAACTGTGTTGCTGTAGAGTTTGGATTGAGCGTTGGTACATTCCTACTTAAAAATTTAAAGAGCTTGGAGAAACTGAATTGAATTGTAAATTTACCCGGGCTGCTCAGTAGGAAGCAACATCAAATGAAGTGGACCTGTCCAATGAGTGAGCAGCAAAGCTCCAGCAATACTTTGACAGACATCAAATGAAACACAGGACAAAGGTTCACTATGCTTTATTTGTTTTCATCTCTGATAAAATAAAGGTGGGTGAACTGATGAAAGGCTTGCTAAACATCAGGTTGAGCATTTTACATCAACATGAGATCCTATGGAGTATTTAGGGTACCAGCATTAGGTAGGGTTAGTTAGCTTTTTCTGAAATAAATGGAGTTCTACCTGCCTGTGACTAGTTTAGTCTACTTCCAACTATATTAATGACCAGAAGTTAACCATTGAAAGGTTGCAAGGCATGACATGGACTTTAGCACTTAACATGATGACCTTCTAGAAAGGAGTATAGCATTGCTTCTCCAACTCACTTTGGTATTGCCTTTATACATTTAAAAGATTCTGCAAAGAAACAAAAATGTACATCTGCATAAATATAAAAATTTTTCCATCATGTTTAAATGACTCACATTCAGAGTTACACCATAATGCCGTTTGAAATCCAGCAGAACAACAACAACAACAAAAAAAAAAAAAAAAAAAAAAAAAAATGTTAAAAACATGTCAGCACCATTGCCCCAACAGTGTCTAACAGGCTGGAAACAAGTCTACATTCAAGGCAAACAAAAAAAAAGAAAAAAAAAAAGAAAAAGGCTTGAACCCCAGCAGTAAAACCCACAAAAGGAAAAATAGAATAAAGTATCTCATGATCAGCAGTAAAAGACACAAAGGGGAAGAGGTTCCCTGGACCACAGCTTTCCTTACATAGATAAGAAGAGTGAACTGCCTGTTTGAAATCATGGCGTTAATGGAAGTGAGCTTTGGTTTCCGGCACACCAAGAACTGCTAAAGCTTGCAGATGTATGGGGGGAAAGTGCATTTTAGAGGGACCAGTTTCACCAAGTCCTGCTCTCTCCAAAACCACCACAAGGCAACAATATGTAGAGGGGACAGACATGATGAATTACACTCTTCAGTGATGTCCCATGGCTTGTGGGTAACTCATTTACATTTGAATAACTAGACATTTATTGGCCCTATTGCTAATTTCATCTCTAAATTTAAGTCTAAAGGCTAGAAAAAGGTGCAGAAGCTAGTAATGAAGGCTGATTACCACAACGCCCCAACAAGCATTTCCTTTCATCGGTTTAAGACTAGTGAGGGTTGACTCATCCCTTCGCATGTGCGGTACCATTTAAAGGGACGTGTGGGGAGAGATGGGGGGTGCTATTTTCCAGACGGTCATGAGTTAACCTGGATCTTGATGTCAAAGCGTCCCTGGTAGCGGTCCTTCTCGTTGTAGTAGATGTTTTCTCCAAACACTTTGCACTCGATGCGCAGTTCAGTGTTCCGGGTCAGGTTGGTGAACTGCAGCGCTACCAGTGGCTGGAGGTATTGGGGTTGATGCCGCTTGCCGTAGTAGGGGTAATACTGCAGAGGGAAGCCTTCGCCTATTCCGTAATATTTGATCTCCCCGATTTTATCAGCATCCTCCTCTCTCTGGGATGTGGGAAAAAAATAAATGCATTGATTTGGAGAAAAAAAAGAGGGAAAAGGGTGTTTATAAGCAAGAAAGGAGTTAAAAAGGATTTGATACCTTGTTAGTGCAGTAGAGAGGGATGACGTTGGCCTGGACTTTAGGTTTTGCCTCTTCAGGAATGCTGTCGTTGTTGCCGGGAGGCTAAAGAAGACAAATCATAGATGTCTTAAAATGAAAGAAGGAAAGAAGACAGGACAGAAGGTGGAGTGTTCGGACATGTGGGAGAAAGTTACAATTAAAAAAGAACTTGAACAACTGAAGAAGGAAAAATAAAAGAAGAAAGGAAGGATGAAAAGAAAAAAAGGTAGGAGATAAAAGGAAAATGGCAGCAAAGATAAGGTAGAAAGGAGATGACCAAGGAAGATTATGAAGGACCCAGAAGGAAATGTAGAAGTAGGACATCAACCATAGAAGTAGTGAGTAGTAGTGAGAGCAGAAGTACCCTGGGACGAAAATTGACAATCCGGTTGAGCTTCACAATCAGGCATGGCTTGCCATCCTTGAAACCAAAATCATTGTCTTCAAGGCCGGAGCAAGAACCCAGCAGAGACCTGGGGAACCTGCAAGCCTTAACACCACCCATGTCGCTCTCCAAGTCACCTCTATGCTTGTAGTCTGCAGGTTGTTCTGAAAGGGCCAGTGGAAGGGGACAGTTGGACATAGAAGCTGTTTTATTTTTCTGCCTGCTTCTCAAACATCCCTTCAAAGGATAAAAGGAAGCCTACCTCCGCAATCCTCAAACAACATGTTGTTGTTCTGAATGTTGTCATCATATTGTTTCATGAAGTCCCTCAGAGCTTTGACGTAAGGCAGGTAGGTCTCCGACTCCCTCACACTGAAGAACACCTCAGCTTTGTCAGAACGTGGGGTATGTGAAAGGCCTGCAGGGGGCACCAAAGAAGCAGTTATTAATGACAGGGTCTCCCCACAGACCAGGATTCAGCAGGACACCAGAACCTTCAAACCTGCCCGAAACTAAACAAAATCCAGTCAGATAAGCAAACACCCCATACAACTTCAACACTCTTTGTTGCTGAAGTTTGTTACAGTTGGAGGGGAACTCTTTGAGAATCTGTATTCTCAGAGAGAATACAGTATAGATTGGAGTTACATCTCCGGGTCAGTAGATGGCAGTATGTTGTGTCAAATGAAGAGGCTGAAAGGAACATGTATGAGAACCAACAAACATCCTGTTTAGTTTCAGGTTTTAAGTGATGGATTTGAACAATTCCATGTCTGAAGTGATGAAAAAGTGAGCTGCCAACTTCAGCAGATAACAGGAAACTGAACAGAGTAGTTCAGTTTTAATCTTTTATGCATTCAACATTTTATGCCATGCAACATTGTGGACATAGAAATCTGAGCTAAAGCAATTAACACTAGCTGTGCTAAGTGCTAATATAGGACACTAAATCTATGAAGGCCTGGAAAAATACCAGACTCAATTCCCAGACTCTGTAGGAACCCATCAAAAACTTGATCACCCCAAATCTCAACACAAAGAGGTATACTTTCTCTTTGAACAGCAGCTGACTGCTACTTGGCCTCCGATTGGCCCCGTTACCCTCAGGTGTGTCAACCTGCTTTGGCAACCACACTGCAGAGTGTGGCCTCTGGGAGGCTGCGATGGGACGAGGGTTACCAAACAAAACAACATGCAACAATGCTGATTATGGTCAGTAGGAGCTCAGGTCCATAAATGTTAGACAGACAGAGGCTTCATTGGTGATCTTCACTTCCCCAGATTAACACTAGTTTCAAAGGACTATTTTCTCCACGCATTACTTTCCCAAAACTTTTCATGTCAGCAGGATTAATAAAAGCTACATTTTCTAATCTACCGAGTAAGCTCCACATCGATATAAAATTACAAAAACACAGCCGGAAATGGAGCCAATTGATCATTCCATAAGGCTATAATTTTACATTAATCAGCAAACATCCCAGACACCATTTTCTTACAGATTAGACAGAATATGGGTGGCCGGCTCTTACCAGGGGGTGCAACTCTGTCCTGCCAGGTGGGCTTGTACTCACTCAAGGTCATCAACATGGCCTGGATGGTGCCAATAAAGACCCCTGCCAGGAGGCCGTAGAAGATGACATAGAAGACTGCAATTTTGACTGCAGGAGAGAAAAAAAAGGAGCTTAGAGTCACGTTTCAGAGAGCGACAAGAGGAGTGTGATCCCTCACCAATACATCTGTTCTGCAGAGGAAAACACTCTGAAAATACCCTATTCTGAGCCCCCTTTACTGAATGAAGGGACATGTGTGGGAATATGAGGAACTGGAAAAAAGTTGCAAAGGAGAAATAAAGGAGCATGTGGGGGTCAACTGGTAATTCTCCTACTGAATTATCATGCAGAGTGACATCACTGCAGCACTTTAATGATCTGCAAGAGAACATGAAGCTGTGGCAGCCAATCATCAGCGGCCTCAAGCTCTTTTTGTTGCATGAAGGGAAGGTCATCAGGTCACCATGGAACATTACTTCCAACAGTGACCAGCAGACATTTGTGGTTTCTGATCTTGACTGTTTTTGCATAATTCTGCCAGTACTAGTGCTGAAAATTGTAGTTAAAACTTAAAGCTAATGAGAGCATCTCATAATATATGGGGGAAACCTCCCATTTATGTACAGCACAACATAAATGGGACCAAAGAAGTTAACCTTCAATCCACAGCACTGCGCATGTCAGGTTTCTCTCATGCATCAGCACTTTCAGGTGTCCTCAGAAGGACAAATGACCCCTCCCCTCCCAGAGGATGGAAGAGGGATGCAAATGATGCGGACCCTAGCTGGGGCTCGTGCAGAGAGCCTCCCTGCTTCCTGTCATGTTAGCCAGGTGTTCCCGTTTGTCCCCGGCGTGACATTCAGAAGCGGCTAGCGCATGCGCAGTGGCGACGATAGGTGAAAGGAGAGCCGAGAGGTAATCAGTCATATTGTTCGGTTGTGTCCCGATGACACCTGATAAGGCGAAGGACGCCAATAGAGATCCATAAACCGACTTCTCGCTTCTGTTCCGTCCAGGCCGCGTCACCTTGAGTCACCTTGGACTCTGATGCAGTTTTAACCCTTAGACATCTCATTCCAGGGGAGTATTAAAAACGTAAAAGTTGACGTTTCCCTTACAACCAACTCTGTGCCCACTGCCTCAGCAGCCCGCAGTGCCAGAGCTCCCTCCCTGTACTATAAGGAGGAACAAACGTGTCTTAACCAACTAGATGCGTTTCATACATTTTTATAATAAAAATAAAATATTTAGAACTATCAGAGAGCTTCTGAAATAAGTTATGCAGAGAGAGCAGGGGAACATCGTCAAACTTCTCATCAATTGTGTTTGTTCTAGAAAACAGCAGATCAAACAGGTGGCACATTCAGCCTGATGATGGGAGAAGAGAAAAGCGGCCATTCAGCACAAATACTCACACCAGCTTCCCCCGGTTCGCCCCAGCAGCTCCCCCCTCTCTGAATTCCACAGGAACTCCTTCCAGCCGCCGTCATCTTTATTGGAGGGCATTTTGCTTGCTTTTATTTTCTTCTATTACTCGTTCACCGGCGGACTCCCTCCGTCTGCCACCCAACCTCAGAGTAGCGGGAGAGGTACCAAGGTTACCGCTGGGCTCCCATATATAAACCCGACGCTTCTTGACTCCGCCCGAAAACTCCGGACAACTTACCTAGTGGTGCTTACTGAGCGCCAGGGGCCAATTACGGAGCGGAGACTCAGTGCGTCGATCTGACGTCAGGACCATGGACAAAAACCATTATAGAAGTATACATTAATGATAATAATAAAAAAAGAATATAGACATATGTGCTTGGTGACAAAAAGTGGCATTATAGTGTGTTAGCCCTTACATTAAACTAGACTTTAAACTTTAGATATAAAGTATCTCTAGTTTGTAGAGTAAGAGATCTTCCTGTTCAGGTTAAATCAATTCATGTCAACTATTATGTGGCACACAAAGCCAGATTACAGTCCTCAAACCTACAATTGCGAGTGATGGTGGTTCCTCTAAAACAATAATTACTGAGCAAACAATGTGTTCATCTGATCCCCGTCATGAAGTGAAAAGTAATTTTTTTCAGCTTGTGCTTGTGTTGCTCTCCTTTTTATTTTCTATCTGTTTAACATGGTGGGTGTCCTGTACCTGTATGTGAACCTTCTAATCAGATATCCCCTACTACTTTCCAACCACAGGTATAATAATAATAACCAAAGTACTGTCATCTATAGTGAAAGCTTAAAATGAACTACATAGTCTGGGCTAAATTTGAGAGCAACTTAAGTTGTCATGGTTAGAGAACCCAACCGTCACGTGCCCACTGCTCATTAACATACTCACATTCAATGCAAATGGCACAAGCCTGGGTAATTCTTTCAGTTTTACACTCTTGCCAGGTGTGTGGGTTATCAAAGTTCACTCATACAGTGTAGAACTGCTCAGCAGTGTGTGGTCATGTGGGTGTCTTACGCTTATGCGTTTGTTTGGATGTAAACATGTGTGTGTAAGAGTGAATGGATTTCACACATGGTGGTTTTACCTTTAAATATCAGCTCAAGGACAAGGAAAGTCAAATCTCTATTGTCCTTTCTTACAACATGACTTTGAAAGAACTAAAATCCAGCATTCCACTATATTATTTTTGATAAATTTGAAATTAGAGAAATTTTGCTGAATTTAAAAGTTATTACTGTTTATTTATACAGTTTGTATAAATATAGTAAGTTTGTGAAAAGGTCACTTTGATACTTTTATCTCTCCTTTTGATCTCTCCACTAGGAAGTCAAAACTGAACTTTCTAAACAGATTCACAAGATGGTCTAGATTTACTAAATGCCACAATAATGAAAAAGAAAATTTTTAATGACTTTTTAGAATACTTAAATATTTACTCACTAAAGCTGGGTGGACAGCTTTAATGTGAACGCTGTTTATACTTTCAGATAAACAGTAAGTTAGTTCTGATTATAACTTCATCAGAAGTTAGACTTGTGTCTAACTTCTGATCAGAAGTTAGAAGTTAGACAAAACGATGTTAGACCCAACATCCTTGGGTCTAACGTCCTTAGACCCAAGGATGAACCAGACGGGTGGAGATCCACAATTCTGTTCCAAGTTATTTAAATGACAGTCTAATTGTATGTGAAGTTCTGACTTCCACAGTTTATATAAACATCTTATTAATTTGTGCTTGGAAGACGTTCCATGGTGGAATGGAGATGCTTCCTTACCCTGCTTTCTATAATAGGCCGTTATTACTGTCATTAACTCTGTGTTTAGTCTTTCCTCTTTCCCACATCAGGTATCCTTTGACCTGAAGTTCTCATATTTGTTTTCTTCTTTCTGGCATACTTTCATTCCCAACATGTTGAGGCGGGTACATTCTGAGTCTGGCTCTGCAGGAGATCTCCTTCAGTAAAGTACCGTTCTTCCTCTTAAATGTTGCTCTACTACAGTGAATTGGATTAGATTCAATTGTGGACTAAGGTGACACTACAATTAGTTGATTCTGAATATGATGTTTTTCTGGGTCTGTGTTGGACTTTTGCAAAAATGTGTGGATTTGTTGTGACTCCTAGGTGTAACATATAGAACATTATTTTGTCTTTACACAATCAAATTTTTATTAATTACTTTGAAACTGATCCTACTACAACAAAGATAACTATATCTAAAATTAGCTAGCGTTTTAGCTGTACTAGAGCTACTTTCCACCATTAGTTGTTGTTGACAGAAGACAAGGTCAGATAATTCCTGGAAACCATGCGGATCCAAACTGGACCATAATTTGCGCTGCTCTAATCCTTATTTCCTGTGTTTGATAAGAAGCTGTCACGTGACGGTATCTGATTGCCAACCCAGCCTGGTGATGTCCTCATAATGATACGGCCCAGTGTCTGACAGGTACTACGCCCAGTCACAACTGCCAACTATTGTCAGTTTGTATACACTATAAACACTTGTGGTGTGGAATGATGTGAGGAGCAGGGAGAATCAAGGTGAAAGGGACTCATCCTGTTTTGGGCCTTCGCCTTTTTCATGTGGAGGTGTCGCCCTGAAGGAAGATGGTTTATGCATAACATGGTAAGCATCCTTCCTGAACTTGGTTACTTTTTTCCAGGAAACAACTCAAAACTGGTTATGAAACTTATTTCATAAAAATTCCAAGGTAAAAGTGAAAAAAATTCAGATTTAAGTTGGTGAAAAATGTCCAAGAGGAAATTTTCTTAGTCTTGATATGTTTCAGTTTAATGTTATTTAACCCTCCCTCGGTCCTAAAAGACAGGGTCCGTCGGACCCCATGAACTTTTCGCCCTGTGGAGAGTCTGGAGGGGTCACACTGACCATGCATGTGCTTTTATGAGGGCTTTTTGTTTGTGATTTTTGGTAACTGACAGTCTGATGGGACCCTCTACCATTATTGCTCAGTCCAATCCAATACATACAAAATCAAATCAGTTTTATGCAATACAACATGATTAAATTTGATAGTATTTGTACATTCATATGCATATACATTAATAACTAGAATAAGAAAAGAGGACAGAAAGAAATTAATATATATTATTATCAACACCGAGCTTTAGTGAGTAAACATATATTATTATCAACATATACCTTCTTTTCTTGTTCATACTACTGAAAGTAGATATTTACTCCATAAACAGACACATAACCTTCCCTGCTTTGGGTCAGTTAGGATCAACCAAATGACTTCTGTTTGACAAATGTAAGGAGAATTAGCAGCGCTTTCTTTGCTTGGGCCTAATAAGGGAAAAATTGTTTTATTGCTTACTTTAAATTTAGAGACACAGTATCATGCCTTTAAATGTCTGGGAAACCCATGTCATAAGCTTCTGATAGGTCAAAAACTGGTCTTCCAAGTGAAGACCTATTGGGTCTTCCAAAATGATTGTCCTTCACTGTATCACCAAATAAGTTACAGTTTCTTAAGGACAACAAAGTCAGTGTTTTGTAGTGGCCATCATAAAGTTCTGATATGTGAACACCAGTGGTTGGAGCTAAAAAAGTGTGTGAGAGCAAGGAGGCTTATAAACAAGAAAACAAAAGGTTCCAGCAGTTCTTTCAGAACAAATGGGACAAACAACAACAGCAATTAAAGGTAATTCTACCAAACACAGAGGGGGTGGTTGAAAACTTCTGTTCTTATTCTGGCATTTAGCAATCAGAAACAATGGAGGAAGACTGACTGATCTTAAACAGGAAACGTTTCGTCTGATTGGTTGCATCTCTTATTATACAGCCACATACATTTCCTTTGGGCAGGGACAAATTATAAAGACTTATGTGTCCTAAATATGTGTCATATGTGTCCTAAAACTCCTCCAAAGAAGCTCTCTGTGTAAGAAACCATTGTCAGATATTAGTCAGGATGTTGTGGGTCTGTACTGCTTACATATCAACAATCCTTCACTGACAGAGTCAACTACCAATTCACCTTAACGGGCCTTAAAGTTAAATACTATTATATACTGATTAGGACTCAATGTGAAACCAACACTAAGTAGTGCATAATTGTGAAGTAAAAGGCAATAAGTCTCGGTTTTTAGCAGTTTTATTTACAAGAAATTTCTAAAAGGTGGAGTGTGTGTTAGTGTTTAATAGTTTTACTGTCACTGTTATCACTCCCTGTTTCTGTGTTGCGGTTTTAGTGAAGTGACAGTTTGTTTAGGGTTAGGGCTCCATTCTTTTAGCAGGATGCCCAGGACTCGGGTCAGCACATTTTAAAGGAAATTGTAAAATGAAATACTAAGTCCAGAGTTTGTAGGAAGATCATATTTCCAGCAGTCAGAGTGATTGTGTTGCTAAAAGTAGCTGAAGACATTCAAAGCACCTGACCTTGACTATTCACTGACGAACCTGAATATGTCCTATGCAGTTGTTTACAGATGAAACACTCAAATGAAAATCATGTTTTTCCTAAAGGATATTTCTCTGCAAGTGTTCTTCATGAAGTCTTATAACTTAACTTTTTATATCGTAGGTTTTCTAAGTCAAGCTTCTTTACTTAGTGTCGTTGTTTTTATTTTTTATTTGATAACAATAAGGTAGCGTTGGAATGTGGAAAATATTTCTGTTTTCTACTCTGGTTGTGACATGTTTCAAGCCTTTTCATGAATGTTCCTGTCAACATATTCCAGGCCCATGCTCTCCCTGTTCTCCCTGTTTACCATGTGCTCCCTGTTCTCCCTGTTTACCATGTGCTCCCTGTTCTCCCTGTTTCGGTGAAGGGTTGGTTCCGGTATCTCTGGTTCTCTCCTGCAGCCCCGAGACATGAATAATAAAAATCAGCTGACAAATGTTTTCTGGAGTTGTGAACGTGGCAGTGAGAGAGGCGAGGGGTGATATCTGCATTGAGGTGTTCTGTTTGCCTGAGTTGGTGACATCACCTGCAGTCTGGACAGGTAACACGTGACAACATGGAAAACTGACAGCTACCAGCCGCCAATGCACAGAAATAAACATCTGGCTGGATCTGTGGAAACCCACTGGCTTTGTGGAGGCAAACAGGTTCAGATTAGTGTTATTACTGATTTCAGCTGTTCCACTATCACTCAACTCATTGGTCTACATCAGGGGTGTCC